ATATGTACAATTTCGTGTTACGTCTCGTATTAAAGACACTTTACGTGTTTTGTAGTGATTCTTAATTTCCACTGATTATAGTTTTTCACTTTCGATATACCACTAGCTTTTATATGTAAATTCCTATATGTACAATTTCGTGTTACGTCTCGTATTAAAGACACTTTACGTGTTTTGTAGTGATTCTTAATTTTCACTGATTATAGATTTTTCCACTTTCGATATACCACTAGCTTTTATATGTAAATTCCTATATGTACAATTTCGTGTTACGTCTCGTATTAAAGACACTTTACGTGTTTTGTAGTGATTCTTAATTTCCACTGATTATAGATTTTTCCACTTTCGATATACCACTAGCTTTTATATGTAAATTTCTATATGTACAGTTTCGTTGAATAAATTGAATAAATTTATATTAAACTCATCGTATTTCATCAATATAGACGACGAGGGGCAAGAGTACGTTGTATCTTACGGCGAACTGAACGAGCTGTCCAACAAATTGGCCAGAGCGTTACGAAAATTGGAGAAACCAGAGAATTCGTCGAAATCGTTCGTGGCAGTATGCATGAAGCCGTCTCATCGGCTACCAACGGTACTGGTGGCCATATTGAAGGCCGGCATGGCGTATCTACCTTTGGACGCGGAGTTCCCGATGGCCAGAATGAAACACGTTCTGCAAGAAGCGAGACCTTTCACGGTGGTGATCGAGGAAGGAGGTAAAAATGATTGTTCATTTTCTTTTTCTTTTTTTTTCCCCTCTTCTTTTTCTGACCGAAGCATATCAAAGTCACCTTGTCAAAGAATTAAAAATCATTTACAGTTTTCAACGTCTTTTTGTATCTTTGGTATTTTTAATTTGATTAATCTTGATTAATCATTCAAGTATATGTTACATGTAGTAATATTAATTTTTTAATAATTAATAAACAATTCGCGCTTCCATCCTTTGCTTCGATTGCAGTAATCCGGCATACACTGTTGTATAATATTTTATTGCAAATGCTGCATTCGCTTGATTACTTTTACTATGTATTTGTAACTGATATTCTAACATGAAAATTCACTTGGCCCTCAGTTGCTCTTCACATTGCCTATCTCATGCTCGCTATACCTGATATTCTGAGACATTCTGTATAATGTGTATATATATATATATTTCTTTTTTATTTTTATTATGTTATATTTTTTCACATTATGTATATGTTGGGCAATTTTCCACTTTTAAGTTTTCTAGAAACACACAAAAATCCGTAGTTTATTCGTCAAATTTTTGTCGATATTACGCATATTCATCTTATCTTAGTCACTTTGGAATATTTATAGCTACAAACACGAACTGACATTCAACGTGTTAAGAAATAAAATGATTTAAAAAATTTATTAGCTAAGAAACGCTGTCATGTTTGACGCTTCTTGAGTTTCTCGTTTAAATATCCGTTTAAAAGCCCATTTATTATGCAGACTCGTAGATGCTGAAGTTTCTGTAAAACCAGATAGGGATCTCAAGCATAATTTCCTCTCTTTGTCTTTCTCTTGTTCTTCCATTAACTCGCAAATTGGTTTCTGGTCCTCATTTTTAGTCCCTTTTATCATCTCCTGTCACTTAGTACCAATAGTTTTAAGATAATAGATCCTCGATAATACTAATTTCTTTGCAAATCGATTACGCGAAACGAAACAAATCGACACACCGGGCATTCTGAAAAGTTTTGCACTTCAACAGCAGAGTATACAGAGTGTCGTGTAATTTGTGGTACAGGCGAAAAGGAAAAAATAACATTAGTGCGTTAATATTATGCAAATTAAAAAATTATAATATTATACATGATGATATTAATATTAATATAATGTATGTATGTATTATATATACATGTATATATAATATTAATATAATATTTTTATTTCATTTTATAATATTATATGCAATTGAGGTTAATATGTCTATTAAGCTAGTAGTGAATCAACCCTTTCTTTCGGGAGTATCAAAATGAATTTAGGAACTATATGATTTCATTTAAAAAATCGAAATTCACATGTCCTCTATACATCCACCTATCAAAAGAACTATTACAAGAAAGAAATAACGCCAAGATCTATTAATGATAAATATTGTACAAAATTGAGATGCAAGCATCTATTAAGCTAATGATTCCCCGATGTAAATAAATTTTCTTCCAAACGTTTTTGTTTTTTTTTCTTTTTTTTAGAAAATATCAAACTAGACGAGCACGAATATCAAAACAGAACGAATCATTGAAAATTATACGATTTCACTTCAAAGGGAAAAAACGAAGACGAAACCTTCGCGTGTCCTGTCAGAAGAAAAACAATTAACAAGAAATTAAACGCGTCGTTTAATACCAAGCGCATTTAATCCCTCTTATTACCAATAACAGCCGAGATATCCAAGTGGTCTGTTTTACGCGAGACACTCGGCAGTACAGTTTAATAAAGAAAATTCGACAGTCGTCGTGCTTTCGAAAAACGCTGAGAAAAACTTCTCAAAGAGAAATCCACGTTGCCTCGCGCTCACAGAGAAATCCACGTTTTTTCCCTCGCGAACGCGATGTCGCAAAGAGAAGAGAAGAGAAGAATTTACAATGAAAAAAAGAAAAAAAATCCTGCTTTTTATCGCTTTATCGATTATTGCATCACGTTTCGCGATAATTCCAAGTGGACAGAGAAACGGCGAGAAAAAGAAGAAAAAAGAGAGAGAGAGAGAGAGAGAGAGAGAGAGAGAGAGAGAGAGAGACGAAGTAGAGAGGAAAAGCGTGTCGAGTGAAGTCTGCTGCTACTGCCGCTGCTGTTGAAACGTGTCACGCCGTGAAAAACGATTTTTCCTTCGAGCGGTAGGTAAACGGAAGGACCTTGCCACCTATGCAAATCGCCGTGCTAGATTTTCAGAAGGTCGGCAATTATGATACGCTCCTGCGAACAGTTTCGATTCTCCCCGGTCGCAGTCGCAACTTCCGAAATCTGAACGATTCCATTGGCGTTTGTTTCACGCTCGTTCCTCACCTGCCCGTATATAGTTCGTCGTTCAGACGAGAGCCGTATCGGATGTAATTGGATCACAATTTCCAACAGAATTCCGGAGAATTGTCCTTTCAAGTTTATTTGCCCTTTTAAGGATCATTCTTGACTCAGGACGTGTCCCAAATGTGGAGAGCACGCTCTTATTTTAAAAGCGAGGCGAGGGATTTTACGCATTTATGAAAAATTGGACGTTACAAAAATGTGTATAATATATATATATTTAACAGGATACAACATGATATAATATACAAGGTGGGCCAAAAGCTTCTTTCCACCTATTTTTTTTAATAAAACATCAAAATATACGAAAAAACTAATTTTACTAATTTTAAATTAAATTTAAGTTCAAACTATGAACTTAAATTCGTGCACTTTAATCTGGAAAAGAAAAGATTTAAAAAAATTTATTATAAATATAATAAATACATTAAAAATATTATAAATATTTATTACAATGTAATATATTTTTTTTAATATAATAATATATAAATTATTATTATAATTATTATATTTTATATAATTACAATTATATTTATTTAGGATTTATTAGGATTCATTTTTAATAGGAAGTGATTTTTGGCCCAGCCTGTACAAAGATATTTATTTATTTATTTATTTATTGATCCGCGGAAAATCCAGTGAAGAAAAAGAATGATGCTGAAAGACGATAACAATAAAATATAATAGCGCGAAGCGAACTGGCGAGATAAAATAGCGAGTACAATAATTGAAGATGAAAATGTGCAAGAGATGATATCATCGCTTCGCGCGCGTTTTAGATTTAATTAAATTAAAGACCGAGTACCATTGAAAAGATCGGGATCTAAATAGATCCCGTTAACTTGTTAGACACCCTAGAAACGAATTCGTGAGAATTTGTGAAAATTTGAATTCAATAAAAATAAAAGCTTCTGTTCTCCGTTGTGTTATAAACTTTTCCTTATCGCTTGCATATCAATTTCTACTGACTTTTTGGTTCTACATTTTGGTTGCCGAAAGTGTTAAGAATCTCAATCTTCAGAAAACTGTATCTATCTCTCTTTTCAGCGAATCCGTCTATTTACGAGGGAACGAACACGATAACGTACGAGCAACTGTTAAAGCAGTCCGAAGTTGAGGAAAAGAAGGATTTAGAGTACGACGAGGATCCTGAAACAACTGCTATAGTTCTGTATACTTCGGGAAGCACGGGCACGCCCAAAGGTATTATTTATATAAATTAGTTACTATATACATGTTACGATAATAAAAAATCGAACCAAAAATAACACTAGACTAGCAATTGTATAGTAATAAGCTTTAGTATTATGATCATTCGCGTAGAATGGTATTATTCGTGCGTGTAACGAGACAAATTTATGGAATTTCGCGAAGAATTTTTGGAGAAAAATCGTAGACTATTTTGTTGTAAAAACAATCGTTACTTTTCAGCTTATGGCCTGTGCGCATCACGATCTTCTTCGTCGAAATTTAATATAATTATATAATTAATAATTATATAAATATATAAATATAACTTTTCATGATATATTAATATATTCTAGCATATTATATTAAATTTATCATAATATAATATTAATACTTATATAATTTTCTAATTTCGTTTTACAACAATTGCTTCAATTCATTCTTGGCAAGTCAAAAAATATACGAACAATTATTTTTCTCTTGAATTAATTTTTCCAGAATTTATGCCACGGTTACATCCATCATTATAATCGAAAGATTAAAATAAATCGGAAACTGAAATACAAGCGATAAGAATACATTAATTACATGTGGAATTTTATAATTATGTAAAATTATGAGACTATAATAATTACGTGAATTATTGATATTACCTGTCGTTCTTATCTAAATGACATTTTTATGGATTTCAGTTCGAGTTTTCTCTCTTATTAATTATTAGTTTTATGATTAAAGGAGTGCTTTTACCGCATGCCACTGTGCTGAATCGATTGCAATGGCAATGGCAAGAGCTACCATATGCTGAAGACGAGGAACGTTGTATTTTCAAAACGTCGTTGACGTTTGTGGATAGCGTATGTGAAATCTGGGGGCCATTGTTGCAAGGACGAACTCTAGTAGTTATTCCTAAACATATCACTAGAGATCCAGAGAGGTTTATCTCGGTACTGGAAGAACACAAGGTAGGGACTTCAAACAAAATTGTTGAAGAGAAACAAAATCTATAAAGAAGAATCTTTAAAGCTAAACGAGAAGAGGCAATGAAAAAGTTTGTTTCAAATAACGTAAAGAAAAGGCAGTAAAAGACTGACAATAAATCTGATGAACAAAACTTCTGCCAATTCGTTACACTTAAAAATTCTCATTTTTTAATCGTTAACCTATCAAGGATAGATGAAAGATGCATCGCAATAATTCTTTTTAATCAATTTATATTATCAAACTCTATTTCTTAATATTAGAGCTACTGTTGAAAAGAAATTCCAAGGATTCTCTTCATATTTTTTGTATAGTTACATTGATGTACTAATTCGCCCTTAACTTTATAATTTAGAAGCTTCGTTTTCTCACAGAAGAAGCGAATCATTAGCATTTGCCCTAATTATTAATTTTTTGTCCTAACATATTGGAATGTTCACTTCATTTGGTATTTTGATAATGATACTTATATTGATGAAATACAATACAATAAAATGACAAGTACAATATTTCCAAAATGTGGATATGTAACTTTCAAGTTACGCAATATTATAAACAATCGAATTTTCATGTACATCAAATAATAAAAATAATAAAAGAACAAACCTCTCTCATACTTTGAGAATCTGATTCTCCAATCTCTAATCTAACTTTCATGAGCATACGGTAGATGATAGAAGAAACTTAAAAATTTGCATTTGTTAACTATTGACATTAATCAATACACAGATGGTGATAATGTTCTATTCTAAGATACACATTATATCTGTTTCGTCTGTGCAATTCCACTTCGAAATAAAATTTCGAATTATCCGCTACTGTACGTCGAATAATGAAATTGAGCATTTCAAAAATTGTCTTTCACTCGTCGTCGTCGTGAATTTCCCATTCGAGACACGCGAATTTCATCGATCCAACGAAATTTCAGTCTCCAACTAGTAAACCTATTCTTTTCGCGATTAATTTTAGATTCAACGACTGGTGCTCGTCCCGTCGTTACTGCACTCCGTGCTGATGTATCTGAGCCTACGGGTAAGTGGATTTCAAATTACTGTTGCAACACGCGCAGATAACAATCACACGCGCAAAATCCTACATCATAAATCATGCAACGATTTACGTTTCGATTGTGGCCATTAAACGACGTAGAACGTTATTAAATGTCTCCCTATCTCTTTCGTATTCTCCATCCCTCCCACCCCGCCCCCTCTTCTACAATCGCAATTCTCTGTAGACAGAGATTAATGTTCGAAATGCCAGCAAGTCCCTTTCAATTAAACGCAATCCTTATGCATCAGGCTCGTCGTTCACGAGGCGAACGTTGAATCCATCCTGTTTCACCTTCGTTTCTCATTTTTTGATCATTACGACGGAATATAAAGAGGAGGAGGAGAAAAAAAATTAATGGCAGGGGGGAAGGGAGGAGGGGAGAATGAAAATTGGCTGCACCGACGTACAGACTGTACAGATATTTATTTGCTGAATCTGTAGGATATTTTAGAAAACATCACGTAAGATACGTGATTCAAACGTTTATAAATAGACTGAAGAATATACATACACGTGCGTAATTTGTGCAAAAATAGACAGATAATGAGTGAGATAATGAAAACAGAATGTTTAGTAGATGAAACTTGTTACAGTGTTTCAGAGTGTGGTACAAATTTCTATTTATACGTTTGAGGAAATAAAATAGAATGAAATAAAATTGAATGAACGTCTATCCGTCACTAAATTAAATGTCGATATATTTTTCTTATGTAGACGTTACATAATGCGTGTTTTCAAGGAGATAACGTTATAGTACAAAAATACTCATCCGCATCACGTAGACGATATAATTACAATATAATGTATTATAATATATTATGTAATTACATTATATGTATTATACAATAATATATAACTATTATTACATAATAATATAATTATTATATAATATATATTATTATACAATAATATATAACATAATAATACAATTATAATGTGCGTTAAATTATACTATAATATATTATAATTATATAACATCATTTACAGTGATGTGAATAAATAGCTTTCTAAAATGTAAATTTTGAATCAATTATATAACTATTATTATATAATATATATACAATAATATATAACATAATAATACAATTATAATGTGCGTTAAATTATACTATAATATATTATAATATATTATAATTAACATCATTTACAGTGATGCGAATAAATAGCTTTCTAAAATGTAAATTTTGAATCAATTATATAACTATTATTATATAATATATATTACAATATATATATAATATATATACAATAATATATAATATATATACAATAATATATAACATAATAATATAATTATAATATACGTTAAATTATATTACAATACATTATAATTATATAACATCATTTACAGTGGGGTGAATGAATAGATTTTTAAAATGTAAATTTTGAATCAATTATCACGAATCTATTTCGAAATTTGTATTTATTCCATGTGAACGGAATTCACCTGGATTTAATTTAAATGTAGTTGATATTATAACTGAAACCAAACTCTAAAATTTCCCGTGCATTCATCTCAATTTCCCGTTTCGTACTATGAACTTTATTTCCACCAAGCTTTTCAATTCACAGTCGATTCATACATATTTAAATTACAGATAATCAGAATTAAAGTTGAAGCTTCCTAGGTGAATTAATTTTAACGTTAATTCAATTTCGAATTTAATAATAATTAAGAGTCGACGATCGACTCGTCAACCAAGTATGAACCGTTGTCATTCTTAAATCAATAACTGACTGATCAATAATTATCGAGCCTCAAATCTCTTGGCATTAATTATTCAAGTTATTATCAAGTTTGACTGACGTGTTTCAGACCAAAGACGACGCGCTACGTTCACTGAGACTTTGGGTGTGCTCTGGAGAAACGTTGCCAGTTTCACTGGCGGATCAATTCTTCGCCACCTTCGAAAATGACAATAAAATACTGGCGAATTTTTACGGCAGCACGGAGATCATGGGGGACGTGACTTATCATCTTCTGAGCAATCGAAAGCAACTGCAGAATGTGGAGAATGTGCCGATTGGTAAACGGAATATTCGATTATGTCTTTTGCCTACAATTATAATTAATTTTTAAATAATTCCCTAAAAAATACAATCTTTTTCCTAAACTTCTGTTGTAACCCTTGACCCAAGTAATTTTCTATTTATTAAAAGATTTTTTTTATTTTTATCTTACTTTTGCTATGACTTTCAATTTAGAAAAAAAAAAAAAATGGTGATTGTACATTAAATATCCCTTTGTTTCTTTTCCTTATAATTACCTTGCTTTTACCGTGGCTTTGAATTTAAAAAAAAAGCAATAATTTTCTTTGCGTTGATGAAAGAAAGAGGCAAATCTGTACGTAAAAATAAATTTTAAAGAAAAGAAAGGAAGAATAAAATTTGTTCATTTCTCGCTTCGTTCTCGAGCAAAACCAAGTTCGAAAATTCGTCAAGCATACTTAAATTTGACTTAATTCCGTGCTAAACAACAGGACAAATAACCTGCGCGCAAAAATAAGTAAAAACTGTAGAAACATATCTTTTCGCAGTTGCACGCAAACTTTTGACCAACAACCCAATGTATCTAACTGTCGCTATGACATTTAGACTGCATTTATAGACAATTTGTATATTTTATATATAGATTTTTACGCACATTTGTAGAAAACCTTTACGTAATACAACAAAATGTATAAAATATCCGACGTATACCAACAACAATTATCCACCGTGGGCTCTATCTTTCTAATTAATTTCCTCAAAACTATGAACTTGCATGAAAATTCGTATAAGTCCAATAATGTAATCTTGTTACCATGTTGTCAATCACCGTCTCATTTATGTTTAGCAGATTCGAAAACGGACGATTGACTTTAATTTGATTATAGGAAAACCGTTGGACAACTGCGTGATTTATATCGTGAACAAGGAGATGAGACTGGTGCCGCAAGAGGAAGTTGGAGAGCTGATAGTCGCCGGAAGGAACCTCGCAACAGGTTACATTCGCGACAACGAGTCACGCAAGTTCCACGACAATCCTTATGCAATCGATCTAGGTAAAAATTTTCACCGTTTACATGTCTCGTAGATTTTACCATTCAATGTAAATAAATGCAACACCGCCGCATCGCGAATTTTAATTTTGATGAATTTAAACGATTTAATTGTTAACGATTATAATTTATATAATCACAGGGTATTCTAGAAATCGAATTCTCTCTCATTATTATTAATAACATGAGAATAAGCATAAAATCGAATAGTTTCAGCATTGGTAGAGTATTACCATGAAACATTTTTCTCTTTACGATCGTTTCTTTGACGAATTTTCTTTTTACATTAAATATTCTTTTTTAATTAAATATTATGTATATTATTTTTCTTTTTTAATTCTATCGTGTAGCATGTGTTAAGACACATCAGAACAAAGTAAACGTCCGTTTCATTAAACCGATCGATCATTATAAAAAAAGAATTTAAAAAGTACAGAAATACTTTTTGTATATTTAATTTCCAGCAATTCGTGCGATTTTTGAAATTTATTACTATTAATGAAACTTATTTTTGAATATTCCCTGACTAATTAATCCGACGATAATTGAAGATCAAGTCTGATCAATAACTTTTAAACGCGAGCAATATCATTTTGTTTTTCTAGTCTTGATATTTCTTTATATTGAGTTCTTTAGAACAGTATCTAAATCGATACTGTACCCAGCACGTGTTCATTTTATTCCGATGTGGCACTGTATATGTTCATACGAGGTTTTTTTTCTTTATTTTAATCTACAGAATATTTATTCTGATAACGTTTGACTGGAAAAAAAACTGAAACGTCCTGTACGACATTCCTCTCTATTATGTGGAAATACCCTGTTGTTGTTGTTGTTGTTGTTTTCTTTTTTTTTTTTTTAATTCGAATTAACGATGCATGCATCATCATCTAGGGAAAATTTATTTATCCTCGAGGTGTCTCATCACGTGTGTGGCACGCACAGTTATATCGAACGGATTAGCATCGACGGATTAGTATGGAAACGAAAGGCTGTTATACCGACGTCATTGACAAAACGGAACTCTTGTTGAAAATTATGATTGTATAACACGGAAGAACTTCGTTCTTCAATATACTCGCGATTTTAATCTACACGCGTAGCTTATGTAAATTCTGTTTTTTACTTTCAAGACGACGGTTCTAATTAAACTCTATTGGTGATTTATAAGATACATAGCGATCTTATATCGAAAAAAAAACTATCGCATGTTACATCGAACAATTTATGGAAATGGTGGACACGCCATTTTAAAGAAAACATTCGTAGAAACGACAAATGTTTGTATGTCAGTGAATTTCAAAATCGAAAACTTTTAAGTCGAAAGAATACATCGTTAAAAAATAAAAAAATTAAAGTGACCAGCTAACCTAACCTGACCTAACCTGACCTAAAAAATTAAAGTGACCAGCTGACTTTATCATATCGGAAGATTTACGATTCATCGTTTAACATCGTTTTCAAAAAACCTGTAATTCATCAAAGTGAAAAGCAAGAAGTCTCTAATATCAGTGTAAAATAAAAATGAACAATCGATTGTTTCCACTTTGAACAGAGTACTCGAGGATTTATTGCACGGGAGATTATGCGAGAATATCGAAAGGAGTGATCGTATACGAAGGACGCATGGATTCACAAATTAAAATTAGGGGGCATCGTGTAGACCTCATGGAAGTGCAGAAAGCAGTATCCAGGGGACCTGGTGTTAACGAGGTAGTCGTTCTTTGTTACAAACCCGGCGAATTGTCTCAGGTATCGTTAATTGTTTCAATATCTTTGATATATATTATCGTATAATTATTATTATTATATATTATCGATTGCTTAACTATAATGTATTAAGTATAATTACGTATTACAATTATTACATAAAGTTATATTAAATTTTGAATTAATAATAATATTCAATAATTATATTATAAAATTACGTGTACATACACTTGATATGTGTTTAAATCGATATAATTCATATAAATTTATACGTATGTACATGTGCATGCATGCTTAATTTATATATTACACATGTATGTGCAATTTATTATGTATGTATATATTACATGTACTTGATACATTATGTATCTTACATATTATACATTACTTATTATATTTTATACTTAATATATTAATATATTATATTATACTTAAATATATTATTAATATATTATACTATACTTATATATATTAATATATTATATTATACTTAATATATTAATATATTATATTATATTATACTTAATATATTATATTATATTTTACACTTAATTATTAACTATTATTATTAAGTAAAACTATATAAAATAAAATTATTTGAACGAACGAATGAATTTTCAGGCATTGCTTGCTTTTGTAACTATAACGAACGATTCATCTATCAGCACGTTGGATATCGAGACGTTTCTTCAAGCTACTCTACCCGTATACATGTTACCACGAATTATCATCGTGGACAATATACCTCTTTTAACAAACGGGAAGACCGATCGCCAAGCACTGCTAAAGCAGTACGAATCTTCTAATCTCAACAACGGTAACAATATATGTGCCTTCTCAATTATTTTCACTTTACATCATGAAAATTTCAACAACTCGGTAACATTTCGAAATTATTGACTGATCAAAATATATAAGAACATCCAGTAATCTCCTTTTACAGTAATCTGTACTGACTGTGGTGTTTCATGCATTTTTGAATGCAAAATTTCGAAAAAAATAAGAATGCCCGTGTAAAACATCTAAAGTATATTAAACGGTTTCTATTTCTCCACCTTTTTAATTAAATTCTCAAAAAATTCACATTTATCATAAATTTCTATTTATTATTAATATTTACTACAAGTTTCTACTTTTCCACCTTTTTCTAATTCTACTCTCAAAAACATTTTATTTATATTTAGAAAGATACAGAGTACGTTAATCATCCGCCACAAGTCTAAAATTTTCGCATTTATATTCTAGACAACGAGCAATGCATGAACTGCGACTACACCGACATACCTGAAAAGAACCTAGCGAAGGCGAAAGTTCTGTTTCCGACCGTTGCCTCCGTAATTGGTGCAGGAGGTCGCGCGGACGTCAGTATCAGCGCGAATTTCTACGAGCTAGGCGGAAATTCCTTGAACTCGATTTACACGGTGACGAAGCTACGGGATCAAGGTTACGAGATAGGGATCACAGAGTTTATCACGGCGAAGTGTTTGGGCGAGGTGCTCGATCGAATGAAAATCAGCGCGGACGACGAGCCCCTTGAGAATGGTCTTAACGAAGAAGAACACATCTTTGAGATGTTGAACGATTCTCATAAAGAAGATGTGATAGAGTACGTAGACTGCAATAAATTTATATTTGAAACTTTCCTGACGGGGAATATTAAAACTGAGGAGTTAGGATAGGGGAGAATATTAAAACTGAAGAGTGAAAACAAAATGTGATACAGAAATTGTAGAGCAGAAATTTGTAATTTGAAGGATTGATCAATGCATGTCACTTTTCATTTAAAAAACGACTTGCGCCATGCAAATATCCTTTTGTTGACAAAATCTTTAATAAAGTTGACAAGACAGTTTATTATATGGAATTATTATGTATTAGTATGATATAGTAATATACAGTTAGTATATTATAATGTATTGATCACATGGTATGACAGAACAATTTAGTTCTTACATCATAACTATATGTACGATATAATAATATATGGTTAGTATATTATAATATATAGTTATATTATATTGACCAAACTGTCCTGTCGATAGACAATTACATCATCAAAAAAAGGTATCTGCATGGCACAAATCAATTTTAATAAACAGTGATTTACACTAATTACTTTCTGAATCCTCTGTTTAAATGAAATTATAGAAATCAAATTTAATAAAGTTGACTGGCAGTTATTATATGCAATTATTATATGCAATTATTATGTATTAATATGATATAGTAATATACTGTTAGTATATTATAATGTATTGATCACAGAGTATGGCAGAACAATTTAGTTCTTACGTCATAATTATATGTACGATATAATAATATATTATAATATATATAGTATAATATATAGTATAATATATAGTATATTATAATATATAGTTATATTGACTAAACTGTCCTGTTGATAGACAGTTTCATCATCAAGAAAAGGTATCTGCATGGCACAAGTCAATTTTAATAAACAGTAACTTACACTAATTACCTTCTGAATCTTCTTTTTTAGTTTAAACGAAATTATAGAAATCAAATTTATTCGTGATACACGTTTATAGAATGGGAAAGATAATTTCGAGTAGTTATCAACTCTAGCCACTATAATATAAAAATAGTACTGCCATCTGTACGTGAGATTAATAAGTTACAATAAAGGTGGATGATATTTTTCTGAATTCCGCAGAATTATCACAGAAAGTTTCTACAGTAAAGCAGATTTAGAGCAGTGGCTGATGCCGGATATAACAAAGGAAGACTACAACACAATGATGGAAATACTTTGGAACCCGTTGGTAGAAAAGGACTTGAGTTTCGTAGTGAAATCGGCCAAAGATGGCAGAACGATCGGCGTTGGCCTGAACTTTGATCTTTGGGACGAGCCTGAGTTGATCCTCGACTCCAAGTTGATGGTCGTTTTCGAATTTCTGGAATACTTGGAGGCACCAATTCGAGAACGAAAGTTGCCAAAAGGAAAGGGTCAAATTATCCACAATTTCATGATGACGACGAGCAGTGACCTAAATCCGGCGGAGAACGTGATCATGATGAGAGAGATGGAAGAATATTGTTTGCAACTGGCTAAGAGGAAGGAGTTCGCTGGAATTTTTACCACAAACACCAGTCCACTGACACAGGTAACAATAATAACACGAAACGATTCGTTTATTTTAGAAAATGCTATATTCAGCGAAATTTTAACGAAAGTGACACGCTTCTATTAGATACTTTCTACGAAGAATAGCGCACGGAAATTGGATTGTTCAAAGAACTCACACTCAACAATCGTTAATTGAACATCGTTAATATCTACGAACATCCCAATCTCCTCCTTTTCATTTCCAAAAGCTACATCTCGAAAATCTCCCCTCTTTTCCTTTTCTATTGACTCATACTATTGTACCATATGCGAATAAATGACACGTAATATTAATAATATTAATATCATTGTTATTTTGAATTGCTATATTGTTTTCATAATGCAACTTTTGAAATTTGGCGCCAAGAGCGCCACTCTCACACTCCCTCTCGTTTCTTTTTCGTTAACTATTTTCAATTTCACTAATTGTGAGATTAATTTCATGCGTATCTTATTCTATCGATTTCAAATAGTAGCAAATAGTAAAGAACAGGATGTCAATTTTCTTTATTACAGCAACTCGGAACAGATGTGTTTGAGTATGAAACAATGCTGACTTACCAAGTGAACAGGTATACTGCCCCGGACGGTGCGAAGCCCTTTGAAAAAGCACCAGACAGTCAACTGGCAATTTGCTCCTTGAAAATGATCGCTTAACGTCCCCTGAAAACCAATCGGAAATATAAAAACAACTCGAATTGCACAAGAATACAATCTGTCGTTAATAGAATTAATAAGCATGTATTTATACTGATATATCATCGGATAAGTATTAATTTATTGTAATCGTGCAAGCTACTCTATATTTCTTATTATTTTACGAACTAATCAATCTGTGATTGTCTCGTATTTAGTATGCGATAATTATCTCAATTTTTGGTTTTTATAAACAATATTGACACGTAATAAATACAGAATATGTATATACACAAAAATGTAAAAGTAATCGCGTTATTTGCGAGAAATTGTAAATATTTTTGTACATAGAATAGAATATATGTATATGTACGTATGCGTATATATAGTGTGATACGGTTATTATAATTAGATGTAACTATTTTCCAGTTGCTTACTGAACTTTCTATACGAAGATCCTAATGCAAATTCGAATATTTGGAAATATTATTTATATAGTATATGTCAGTTGTTAACAAGTCCGAATATAAAAAAATCAATAAGTTATATGAATCGTAATATGAATGATATAAATAATTCAATAAAAGAAATTCACATACCTTTTGATGTCTCCTCTTTGAATCTCCGTTTAGATACGTAATTACTCCGATTGGCTGACCGTCTATACCTGCATCAGATCCAGAAGCAGGAACAACTTTCTACGAATCCAATGAAAGCATGTGGGCATTTTGTAAACGCAACGCTACTTCAAGAAACGCGATCATTCATTATCGCAACACTAATAGGAAATCGCGATGAAATAATGTCGCAACACTAACTCTAAAACTAAACTGAATGAAAATTATTATTAACAATACAAAAGCTACTGTATGAACAAAAAACTTCAAATATTCTAACACTCTAATTAATTAAAATTAATCAAAAGTAGCGACTCTATAATCTAATATAAAACAAAAAGAAACAAAATTAATAAATTTTACTATGTATAACTCCAAGATAACTTCAAAAACTCGCAATCAAAAGTCGCGGTATCATAATTCGCAACTCTAAAGCAAACGCGATAATCATTTCTTCGCAACTCTAACTTAAACCGTAAATCATTTCTCGTAACACTAATAAAGAGGCGTGAAACTACTTCGCAACTCTAATTCAACCCGTAATCAATTTATCGTAACATTAACAAAAAAAAATCGCGATATGCCTAAGACGATGATGTACGATGATGAAGAGGAAAAAAAGTACAACTACAAATACTAAAAGAGCATAGTGACAAAGTAGTAACGAAAATGATCTCCCATGCACTGAAATCATTTAAATGATCCAGAGGATGAGAAACCATTTGCTGTGACCCTCTTCGTGGCAGTTTGCCGGGCCTCTTCGGCTTTTAGCCTCTTCTTTCTTCGAGCGCAATGCCCGCTGAAACTTACGTCTAGCTCGAGTCTTTCTAATCGCAAACTAAAAAATAACTTACTAAGGTGAAATAATAATATAAATCGCGAAAGCTAACCCCCAATTCACATGGACGACCACCGATCATAGTGATCGTTGTCGGTTCGCATGTGCGTGCTCGAGCAATACCTATATGAACGTTCGTTTCGGGACCTACTCGCGACCTATCCGCGACCGCGACCGCGATGCTAAATTC